GAAAAATTAACTGTTACCACTACTGTTGCTGATTATGTTAAATGTAGAAATCTAAAATTATAGTTTGTACAAGCCATATTTATTTTTATTCTCATTTTCAATAAATGATTCAGTTATTTACTTATGAACCTTCATGTTTCATTGCTAGATGGATTATTTTTAAAGAATTATTCAATAGCATATTTTTGATGGCTGGTTGTCGCCACCTTTTGGTTAAATAATGTAATTGCTGCTTACAACTTTCATTATGATATTAAAATGATATGATTTCTATCATAAACATCAGTGGTTTTATATAAACTATAAACTGTTATCCCAGTACTTCTTTGTTTTCCTAAAAAGACTAAAGATTGAAACTTATTCCTGAGATTTTTGTGTTTTTCAAACACAGATTTAAATGCAGCGATTTCAAAGGATAATTAAACGTATGTAAATCACCATCATTTATCATTTGTTTTGCGTGGTTGTTGAGATCCTTCTAATGAGCAATCGTGCAGCTTACACTGAATGCATTAATGCAGGCAAAACAAGAAGTGACAGAAAACACCTTTAATAACCTGAGAAACCCACCACTACATCCCGAATAACCTACCACAACTGCTTCTGCCATCGTACAGGAAAGCCTAAATGCTTTCATACATGTGAATGTAAGAGGCGATCTTTCTATGATCTTTAATCATGATGGTTTAGTTATAAACAAAGACAAAAATGATTGAAATGGCAAAACAACAGATTTTACTAAAATGGAAAACAAAGTAATTCAACTTGTTAAACAACAAAAGTGTGTAAAAGTGGTGACTAAAATAGCACCATGTATTAAAAAAAGAATGTTAAAGTATGCTGAAGTGCCCTTTTAAATGAAATGCTGTGTCAACCCAGCATTCTGAAAAGATGTAGCCTCAGACAGTGGGTCGTGTCTAATGGGGATTGACAGCAGAGATTAGAGCAGTGTGATTACATAACAGCAGCAGAAAACACTCGTTATGCAGGCAGTTCAGCCTCACTGAAGAGCTGTGAAGGCGAGTGGGCAGGAATATTAATCAAACCCTTTTAGATGCTGTGAATAATGGGCCACGCAGCTTTGTTTATTCGTGACCAGCACTCAGATGTTTCCAGGAGACGGTGGGCTGTTTTGTGTGACTTTCTTTGGGTGAAAGACTGTTTCAGAGCTGCTGGGAGCAAAGCCAGATTCTCATACAAGTCAGAAACTGATTCCCAAGTCTAGAGCTGTAGTATATGTGACCCTGGACCGCAAAAGCTTAATATGTCCGTCTTACATATATTGTATGTATTACATTGTGTAGTTCAAAATGATCAGTTTTATTTTGTGCCAAAAATCATCTGAAAATTAAGCAAAGTTCAGCTTCCATGAAGACTTTATATATATATATATACAGGGCTCAACAATAAGGACTGCCCGGTGGCGAGGGGCCAGCGTGAAAGACACTCGGGACAGTAGACAGGATTGTTACTGGCCCCTATATCGGCCAGTAACGATGAGAATGTTTTTTTTTGTTTGTTTTTTTTTTGTAACCTGGTAACAACCAGTACAGTGAAAAGATGGCAACATGGTGGCAAATTTAAACAATGAGGCTAAAAGAAAACGTTTCTAAAGGCTTAGAAGCAGACCATTACAAGGGTACAAAATTAAGTAACTGAAAAAAAGAACAAACAAAAAAAAACAGTTGTCAGTTTGGCAAGCCATTTTTATAAAAAGTTATTTAGAATTGCATTAAAACACCAGCACATTTTTCATACTGCTCTTTCATTTGAAAAAATCTTGAATCTTGAATTTTGCTCATTATACATTTATTAACATATTTAAAATGTTTAAATTCTAGATTCACAGGCATAATTTTGCCACTATTTAAAATATGTGGCTAAGAAATAGCTATTAACTTTTTAGTTTTTTTGGTGGGGCTAGTGAAAATTTTGACAGGGCAAGTAAAAATCTTAAGCAATGGCCCGATCGGACCCGTATAAAAATCATTAGCATTGAACCCTGTATATATAAAGTATTTTTTTTAAATATTAAAGTATCTTTTTTAAGTATTTCCCAAATGATGTTTAACAGAGCACAGAAATTTTCACAGTATGTCTGTTAATATTTTTTGTTCTGGAGAAAGTCATATTTGTTTTATTTCTACTAGAATAAAAGCAGCTTTTAATTTTTAAAAAAACATTTCAAGAGTTCACACTTAGCTGATGATCTATCAAGGAATCCTCGAGCCCGGGGCTTCCTCCCGTTGGCAGAGCAAGAGGGGAGCCTGAGCTCGGTGGATCTCAGAACTCCCCGGCTGCGGTAGCTAAGGGAACACATGAGAAAAGGGGTTAGACAAGTGCTTGATCGTTATGCATGTTGTATATCTTTGGATGGTGGGATGAAACTGGAGAACCTGGGGAAAACCCACGCGAACACAGGGAGAATATACAAACTCCTCACAGAAACACCTACCGGCCTGGCAGGACCAGGGCTGGCAGTAGTCTTGCTGTGGGGCTCACAGTGCTAACCACTGGGCCGCCGTGCCGCCCGATCAGTGGTGAAGGAGGAAAATAGGGGAGGAAGGGGGGTTTCTTCCAAACAAAGATAAAATGGACTGAAAACTGTGGTTACTTATAGTAACTTCACTTCAAGAAAAAAAATTATTAACCCCTATAGGCTAATTTTTTTTTCGATAGTCTACAGAACAAACCATCATTATACAATAACTTGCCTAATTCCCCTAACCTGCTAAGTTACCCTAATTAACCTAGTTAAGCCTTTAAATGTCACTTTAAGCTGTATAGAAGTGTCTTGAATACTATGTAGTCAAATATTATTTACTGTCATCATGGCAAAGATAAAATAAATCAGTTATTAGAGATCAGTTATTAAAACTATTATGTTTAGAAATGTGTTAAAAAATATCTGATAAGTTTTGTAGTTCAGTGTCACATTTAGTGTCACATTCACATTTATTCATGGAAAAATGTAGTAATTTTTTATATATATTAGTTTTTTGTTTTATATCAATATGAATGTATGAATCAATGACTTGTTACATTACTGGATGAATCAGCGTTTTTTTAACTGATCTCTTAAATGAATCAATGAACGATTTAATGTTAGATATGTTTTTGAACATTTCACTTTTTTACATTTATCAACCACCTACTGGTGAAGAGATGCAAGTAATGTAATCATAAGTTGTTATTCATTTTGATAACTACCATGGACATCAGTGTTTAAATCTGTGAGTCAATGTTTCCAAACCAAACTAGACATTATGGTTGCAAGTGCACTTGTTCAGTCGCATGATGTGCCTTATATACTATAGTGGCTAGAAAATACCTATATCATCGAATAAATTTCTGTGTCTTTCTACAAGATGGTGCTCACAGCTGAATCACCCGTCCTTTTATCCATTTCTCTGATACTGCTGGTCCAACATGATGAGCATAAAATCATGCAGATGTTCAATTTGGTTTTCATTCATTCATTTTCTTGTCGGCTTAGTCCCTTTATTAATCCGGGGTCGCCACAGCAGAATGAACCGCCAACTTATCCAGCAAGTTTTTACGCAGCGGATGCCCTTCCAGCTGCAACCCATCTCTGGGAAACATCCACACACACACACTCATACACTACGTACAATTTAGCCTACCCAATTCACCTGCACCGTACATTTAAATGCTTAACTGGGATAATTAGGTTTACTAGGCAGGTTAGGGTAATTAGGCAAGGTATTGTATAATGATGGTTTGTTCTGTAAAATATCGGGAAAAATATTTGGTTAAAGAGGCTAATAATTTTGACCTTAAAATAGTTTTTTAAAAAATTAAAAACTGCTTTTATTCTAGCCGAAAAAAAACAAATAAGACTTTCTCCAGAAGAAAAAATATTATCAGACACACTGTGAAAACTTCCTTGCTCTATTAAACATAATTTGAGAAATAATACAAAAATAGAAAAAATTTAAAAGGAGGCTAATAATTCTGACTTTATATAGTAAAAAACAACAACACCTAACTGAATAATCAAATGTAAAATAAGGGTGCTTTCACACCTACACTTTTGTTTCGGAACGTATCTCGTTTGCCCAGTTAGCGCGGTTCGTTTGGCGTATGTGAACAGGGCAATCGCGCTCTGTTCCGCGCCAAAGTAATCGCTCCGAGATCGCTTGAATGAGGTGGTCTCGGCTCGATTGAAACGAACCCTGGAGCGGTTCGATTGGAGTGAGAAAGCGATCCGATCCGAGCGCGGTTATATCACAGTGTTTTATGGATATGTAATAAGCTTACGGCAATATGAAGAGAGAATTATGAGTAGGGCGGGAAGTTTCGCGAATCTCCGGATGCCCGCAAACGAGTGATGATCTCCCGGTAATCTCGCGTCTCTCTCCCAGTCCTCAAATAGGCATCGTCGCGCACCCTTCTCACCCCTCCCCACCGTGTCTCTCCTCAGACACGTCGCGCGCACCCTGTCAATCACCACCAAACCACCACCTCTCCTGACAGCTGAGCGGGACGCTGCAAAATAAACCCTGACACTCTGACCAATGTAAGGAGAGTTTACTCACACGTGACTCGTATTAGCTCTTTTGGTCCGATTAAAAACTTTGCAGTGTGAAAGCGAACCGCTCCAAGAGCAAAGAGCAACAATGTAACATTTGTAATCTCTGTTTCTGAACAACTGAATCGATTCACAGGTGTGAAAGCACCCTAACAGTGTAGTCTTCACTGTGTTTTTATACTTAAATACAGTTAATCTTTCTTAAAGTTACAAACATTATACAAAGGACTTTAAAATCACATAAACACAATAAACTTTTTGGTAACTTCATAGTCATGTGTGTTTTTAACGATGGCTCCAAGTCAATTATAATCCCACCTTGACATTGCAGATCCTTCGATGTAACTATTGCAGATGCGCACGTTGCAAAATCGATGCTAAAAGGATATATTGTGCAGCCCTAGTCATGATGGCGAGATGAATGATGGTGGTGTCTCCTCTTTTGCAGATTGCTTTGAGCCGCTGACATTATGACGCACCAGTATCCCGCTCTCACCGCCGAGCAGAAGAAGGAGCTGCAGGACATCGCTCAGCGTATCGTCGCTCCAGGAAAGGGCATCCTCGCCGCAGATGAGTCCACAGGTCTGTGACGCCTTCCAAATCTATAAACAACCCATCATTTACTCTAGCTCATGCTCACCTTCTGTCTCCTTTCTGTCAGGGCAGCTGTGTTCGCCTCAATGTCATTTAACCTTTGTGTATTGTTCAAACTGACTACCCTTTCTTTATGTTGGTGGCTGCTTTTGCCCCATTGACTTCCGTTATAAAAATGTTCTTTGATTGCGAAGCAATGGCAGCATACAATCATGTATTCTTGATCTTTGGTGATTTTCCCATTTGGGAAGAAGTAAAATTTGTCATTTTTACTGTTGATCTTCTGTTGGGCTTATAAACACTTTAGTTTCTGGTAGGGATGCTCAGATCAGAATTTTTGCTGGAGATAACGAGTACTGATTCTTTGTCATGGCAGATACTGAGTACCGTTTCTAATGCTTCAAGCTTTATAATGCATTAAGCAAATTTTTCCCTCCAAGTATGAACCTTAAGAGAAGATCTCACCTTACCTAAGAGAATGAATTAAGGATGCTGCATATAATACCTTAAATACATCTCTTAAAACCATTTAGGTGTGAACATGTCATGGCAGCTTTACAGAAAATAATTAATTTGTTCATTTTCCTTTGGCTTAGTCCCTTGTTTATCAGGGTTCGCCACAGTGGAATGAACCACCACATAAAATAATAACACGGATATAAAAATTGGTAGGAAAAAAAGACAAACAATTGTAAATGTATATTGTAAATTGTAAATGATGAAGGAAGAATTCAATGAAGTTAAAATGCACACCTATAAATCCATTACTTCTTTACTAAAAGTAAAAAGGCCTATAAACTACTGTTTATTGCAATAATTATATTACAAGACGGTATATTATTAAACATTAATGTTACAAAAAATGTAAAAATGTTTTTTTTTAATCTAAAAAATTCCAGTCAGCTTTTAAAAAACTTGCAATAATGTCAAAAACACAGAACGTTTAGTTTTTATATGTAAAAAGCCTAAATACTGCCAAGACCATTCCTTCAAGACCATTTTGCTCGTCTCCAACTACTGACACCCAGGGCCGGAGCAAGCTGAACTGCCGCTCTAGGCAGAGGACGATCACGCCGCCCTCAACCCCAATGTGAAAACGAAAGTGAACGCTTATGAAAATGAAGTGAGGTGTTGCGGACCTCTATTCTGCTGCCCTATGCGTGGATATAACTGAGGATGTGCGGGTGCTGAGGGAGGGACGGAGGTGTTGCGGACACCGCACTCTATATTCTGCCGCCCTATGCGCGGATATAACCGAGGACGCGCGGGTGTCGCGGACCTCTATTTTGCCGCACTATACACGGATATAACTGAGGACACGCGGGTGCTGATGGAGGTGTCGCTGACGCCGCCCTCTCTATTCTTGAGTGAATGCGCGAATCTATCTGAGGACGTGGGTGGTGAGGGAGGTGTCGCGGACATAACTGAGGACGCGGGTGGTAAGGGAGGTGTCGCGGACATAACTGAGGACGCGGGTGGTAAGGGAGGTGTCGCGGATGCCGCCCTCTCTATACTGCTGCCCTATCTATGAACGCGCTGGCCCTGCTGACACCAGATCACTCAATGAGAGAGAGGGGGATTTGCACTCGTGATATCTTTACTGCTCTATTCATTTAACCTAAGAAATGTAATGCTTAGAATATCACTACATGTGCCTCTTTCAGTCTTGCTCATTCACTTTCCTTGCCATTATTTATTTTAACTCATTTTTGGGGATCACGTAGCCGGTATGAATATGCAGGAGACCTGCTTCCAGGAGAGGTCATAAGGTTGGATGAGACCCTAAACACTAGCAGCTCAAAGCACTGTATATGCATTGGCTGCATTTGCAACAAAGACAGCATCACTCACGCGAGTTGCACCAATAGACTGTATGAACAGGTCGCAACGCTTCTGTATATATTTTAGCTGCTGTGACGCAATCACAAATCATTCACCTCCTCAGGTGTCGTGGCTGCTGGAGGCTATGAAATATACGGAAGCGCACATGCATCTTCCTCTGCTTGTAATCTCATAAACAAACACCTGCTATCGGTTCATGAGATTGGCGAGTACCGATCGAGTCATGAAAGGTGATTACCGGCCGATACCAATCTTCGTTCGATTGATCAGAGCGTCCCTAGTTGCTGGCTTTTATATGGAGTTCATTACTACTCCTAGTCAGTCTATGTTCTGTTCTTTGGTTTTCTCACACATATAAAGGCAAGTGTGCAAAGCTTTCTCTTACACACATACTATTTACTCCGTATAAAAGCCAAAAACTAAGCTTTTTCTGCACTAAAACTGATGATCAACTGTAAAACTTGCTAATTTAACCTCTTCCCAACTGGAAAAGCCACCAATAATCGAGGAAGCATAATAATATTGTGTCATGGCTTTGCAATCAATAAATGTCATTATAATGGAAGTAAATGGGCCAAAAATAGCCACCAACACAACGAAATGGTAGTAAATTGCTCCATAGTGTATTGTCCAGTTTTTTTTCTAAGCATTTCTTAAAATGCTTCAACATAAGATGTCAGCTATTCTGTCAGTCCATTTGCTGAAACACAGAGAAAGTTGTGGGCAAATCAAGCCTCATAATCTCCCTAGAGTGATCTCCCAACATTGTGGGAATAACACATACAGCACTAATGAACCATCTTAATTTACCACCAAGAGAAATTCCCTCACTTTCTGCCAGTGTCTGTAACACACTGAAATGAATGTCTGCGTGTGTACAGGTAGCATGGCCAAGCGCCTGAACCCAATCGGAGTGGAGAACACAGAGGAGAACCGCCGTCTTTACCGTCAACTCCTTTTCTCTGCTGACGAGCGCATTGACAAGTGCATCGGTGGTGTTATCTTCTTCCACGAGACCCTCTATCAGAACACTGATGACGGCACAAACTTCGCCCAACTGATCAAGGACAGAGGCATTGTTGTAGGAATCAAGGTACAGCAAATGTTTCACTCATTTTTGTTTAGTTTAGTTCACCTCTAATTGTTTGTCATTTTATCTGACACAGCAAACTTTTACCTGCACTTTAATGTTCAGATCATCAATCATGACTGCCTTTTATTATTAATAAAAGGGAACCACTGTTGATATCCCACCATGTCCAATTATTGGTTTATTTGGGGTTCTTCCGCCCGACCACACTTTACCCTCTCATTTTGTAGACTTTGTAGCCTTCTTAACACTTTTGGCTAGGCGATTAAGGGTGCTTTCACATTTTTAGTCTGCTTCATTTGGTCCGGATCAAGGGCAATAAACGATACATTGTTGCATTTTCTGCCGTCTTTGGGTCTTTTTTACACCACACTGCTGGCTTTGGTCCGAACCAGTTGAATCTAAGCAAAATGCAGTCATCTGACAAAATCCACATCTCTCATTGGCCAGATGTTGTTGAATATATTTACTAAACCGCTTATTGATTGGTCAAAATTCACATGTGGGAAACTGCCAATGAACTCCCGCAAGTAATCAAAACCGGCAGAAACAAAATGTCATTTTTACTCTGGAGGCACAACTGCGCTGACTGATTGTATGCCTGCTTTAGACAAACTATACATTTCGAGAATGAAGCGCGGCTGCGGCTGGAAAACAGTGTTTTAATGCATAGCTCGTCACTTCAGGAGGAGGCCTGAATTATTTTAGCTAAACTGTGACATATTACCAACGATCCATCAGGTAATGTTTTCCCCTCTCTCTCTCTGTTGGTAAAGCGCTGTCAACAAATATTTGTCCTCCATATCCCATAATGCACAGCGCATCGGCCTACGGCAGCTGGATTAGTTCAAAAGGCGCAGTACTTTTTGCGGTTGGACCTGTTTTAGTATGGATCATATTCTCACCACAAACGAACCACTCCAGGTTTTGTTTGAAAGCGTACCGAGACCACTTATTCAAGCAGGTCTCGGTACGCTTTTTTGGTCCGCTTTTGGTGCGCACTCGAATACGATTGCTGCATTCTCACCTGCCCAAACGAACCGTCCCAAAAGGGAAAACGAACTCTAGAGCGATTCAATCGAACTAAATAAGGCAGGTGTGAAAGCACCCTAATTCTTCTAAACTGGAAGTGCTCTCACCCTCCTTCTCACACTTGTTGGATAAGAAATGTTCTTTATTTTATGAAATTAGAAAAAACTAGGTACTCTCTTCACTGACCTAGCACTATATTTACTAAATTATGGGAACCCCTTCGCAAACATGTCCAAACTCTTCAGCTTGACCCTGCTCCTTCTGATTGAGTCCCCAACCCCCATTGCCCAGCTTTTATGGGAAACTATCTCTGGTCAACACATTGTAGACTTGTTTTTTTTCTGTATATAAGATTGCACTAGTGTTGTTGTTTTTTATTTATTTCAAGAGTTCACACTTAGCTGATGATTGATTATAAAAGCTTGTTTGCCATGCTGTCCTGGGAGAGAGCCCTGAGCTCATGAGATCCTCGAGCCCAGGGTTCCCTCCCGTTGCAAGGCGGGAGGGGAGTTTGAGCTCAGGTAGATCTCGAGAACTTCCCTGCTGTAGTAACCAACGAACAGTAAGTGATTGCTCTTGGAGATAACTACATACTAGAAGCATGTCTATGGTGCCGATTTGGATTAGTCAATTAACTTAACTTGCATGTTTTTGGACGGTGGGAGGAAACCGGGGGAAACCCACGTGAGCACAGGGAGAAAGTGCAAACTCCACACAGAAATGTCTGCTGGTTTGGTAAAGCCTGGAACCAGAGACATTCTTGCTGTGAGGCAACAGTGCTACGCACTGGGCCACCGTGTCACCCATCTAGGAAGAAGGAGGAGTAGGGGTGGAAGGTGGGACTCTTCAAAACGAAGATAGCAGTGGAATAAAACCCAGGGTATTTATAGTAGATTAGGAGTCATCTGATTGGAGCATAGTGAATTGGATAATGCGGATCCAGCCGCTAGCAATCATAAGCACGTGATCCTCTCGAAATTAGTTAATACATAAACTTCACTTATTTTTATTAGAATTTTTGTATTTATTATGATATTTGCTTAAAATACTCTTGTTACATGTTTGTCTTTGTATATTTTTGTCATGTTTCACAATGTATAAATAAAACATAAAAAAAGAGGGAAAAAAATCCAGAACTACATAACCCTGCGTGAAAGTTTTTTTTTCTTCTAACTTAAGTTTTTTTTACACCTGAATTAAATTTCACTAGCCACAACCAGGCCTAATTACTTGCACACCTGTTCGCAATCAAGAAGGGTGTGTATATGGGTATATATGTATATGTGTTTGTATAGGCTACATCTGAAATCGCCTACTACTAGAGTTGGTACTACATTACAATTTACCACTCAGCCATTAGAAAAATAGAAAAAGTGGCTGTGTTGAGTGGGACTCAAATTCTTGCGTTAACTCGGAAGATCAAAGAGACCACGAGAAAACAGAACGCGTCCTCTGAGAATGAGATGTTTTTCCCCTTTTCACAATAAATACTATGCATAAATATACAATGCACAATACAAACTTTAATACAAATTTCAACAAATAAACACCCTTCATGTGTTTACGTCTTTGTGAAGATCACCGTCTCATTTAGGGAAAGTCCTGAGATAAATAATTTATAACTCCGAACTTTAATAATAAATCTAAATAAAATGCTGCCCTTCCCACCTCCTTTATTTAGTCGCAATGACTTCTGTGACTTCTAGAGCGAGTTCGGTGCTCGAGGCTTGTGTCTGATAATATTAATAAACCACGAGTCTATGGTTTAGAGTTTTAGAACCGAACTTTGGCAACTGATGATGACGTTACATGAGGACATGAGGACAAGATCACATGAGGACAAGATGAAAAACGCATATTGAGAAACAGCCATCATGCTCTATATAGTATAAATGGAACTTTTCAGCATACTATATAGTATGGAAGTTTGCAAATTTATTTATTTTTTTATTATTATTATTAGTATTATTTTTTTTATCCAGCCACGGCTTCTGGGAAGAAAACACACGTAGGCAAAGAATCATGATAAGATTATTAGGAGGAGGTTGGTAATGTAATTCGTAGAAAATATTTCTAGCTGTTTCAAGCCTCAAGATCTGATTCTACCAAATCAAACTTAATTTTCATCTATAATGTACAGGTGAATGAATCATTTTGTCTAGATTTTCTTCTTTTGGTAATGAAATTAACAGCAGGTTTTACTCTTTTACAGGTTGACAAAGGTGTCGTTCCTCTGGCTGGAACAAACGGAGAGACCACAACACAGGGTGAGCTTACAGTCACTGCCATTATATTTGATGCCTGTGGTGATGTTTTTTTATTTATGGGAAATCTGTACTTCTTTAGGGCTGGATGGCCTGTCAGAACGATGTGCCCAGTATAAGAAAGACGGCGCAGACTTTGCCAAGTGGCGCTCTGTGCTGAAGATCAGCGACACCACTCCTTCAGAGTTAGCCATCATGGAGAACGCTAATGTCCTGGCCCGCTACGCCAGCATCTGCCAGCAGGTCACAATAACTTGATTCTAATAACTGAATTATTTTATCTTTGCCACGATGACAGTAAATAATATTTGACTAGATAGTTTTCAAGACACTTCTATACAGCCTAAAGTTACATTTAAAGGCTTAACAAGATTAATTAGGTTTACTAGGCAGGTTAGGGTAATCAGGCAAGTTATTGTATAACAGTGGTTTGTTCTGTAGACCATGGAGAAAAAAAATAGCTTAAAGGGGCTAATAATTTTGTCCTTAAAATTGTGTTTAAAAAATTACAAACTGCTTTTATTCTAGCCAAAATAAAACAAATAAGACTTTATCTAGAAGAAAAAATATTATCAGACATACTGTGAAAATCTCCTTGCTCTGTTAAACATCATTTGGGAAATATTATAAAACAAGAAAAAAATTAAAGGTGGCTAATAATTCTGACTTCAACTTGTTAGATTTTGCTGTATTTGGCTTAACCGTTCTTGGGTGGCTCACCAATGTATTAGATTACTCTAATACATAAAATAAGTGAGCTGACCAAAGTTCTTATGGAGAGAAGACTTTATTGAAGACAATAGTGCAGTTCCTCAGCAGTGATGTTAACTCGTCGGTCTTCAAGTAACTTAACCCAAAGTACTGTCTGTGAGACAGTACTTTATACTAGCATCAAACAAACCATTCTGTTTACGAGGCTCAGCAGGACTCTCTTCAGATGTTTCAACTGTTGTTTTGCTAATACCCATTGAGATTGTAAAGGGGTCATTTAGTTCACACCTATCAGTTAGTGGGGGTTGAGGCACAGGTCACCCCATCATATCACATCAGAGTTTAATCAATGTAAATGCAACTGAACTAAAATGCACATAATCTTTCAAACTGTACAAGTAAACTCTGCTTGCCATAGTTTACACAGGACTGGAAATATTCATTGATACAGCTTTTTTGCATATATAGTATGTGGTTTATTTTGATAGGTTAACTGTTTTTGTGCTGTTTTGAGCTTGGCGCGTTCAGAGAGACAGAGGCCTCGTTTACACTGCCACTTAAATGTGACCCAATTCCCATTTATTTATTTTTTTGCTCAGATGTGACAGATCGGATCTGTTCTATGACCCTGTAAACACACACAAAAAAAACACATGCATTCGCATATTCAGAGATTGGTTTCAGGCCTCCTTCATATGTGGAAATAAATCAGATACAAATCGGACAATGCGACTATCATGTAAACAGGCAGATCGGATTTACTGAGGCAGTCCATTTTGTACGACATTAAACTTGCGACAATGTGGTGCTTCCCTGTGGTTCAATGACGTAGAAGGAAGAGCGTGTTTGTGCTCATCCTAAAATTTCATACCCACTGCTCCTCATTTAAGCCGGCCACAATTTGCTCCCACCCGACCTGAGATCTCTCTCGTACCCACAAATTCCTCTGAATGGTGAAGGACACAGTATATAAACCATAGGCACAAGCTGCGATGACGACCCTTTCCCACCTCCACCTCAAAATCATTATAAAGTTGGGCGAACTTCACATATTTGGCAGAGCTAAAAGCAAGACAATTTCTTCCATCGTGGCAAGTGTGGCGCAGATGCTAAAACCCACATTTACACATGCGCGACGTCGTAAATTATATGGCAAGTGTAAACACATGAATCGGATATGGGTGACAATCAGGGCTTAACATTAACTTTTTTGATCACCAGCCACTGTGGCTAGTAGTTTTCCAACATTACTAGCTGCTCGACATTTCAACTAGCCACAATTTTGTTGGGAAAATATATTTTATACACATAAATATGACCTTGACATGCTAAAATTACTTGATTTAGAGTTTGCGTTATCTACTTGCCTCCTCACTTTTTGTGTGTCGTGTATGAGCTTGCTCAATCGAGCAAATGGGTCAGGGTTTCATATATTACAATTAGTTTTCATAATTTTCAGAGCCAAAAATGAAGGATTTACCCAATTTATCTCTGACCACACCATACATAAACAGTTTATTATTGCTCAGCCACAAATTTTAAATGTGCCAAAACAAGCAAAATATAGCTGAATATACTTTTTATTTAACAAAACATGTGCACTGTAATCTGTCCTGGCTAAAGTCCCAGATCACCAGATCTCCCATTAAAGCAATGTTATTGTAAAAAAAAAGAAGATAAATAAACCATTATAACGCAAAAGAAAGCAGGTAAAAACATACTGTGTGATAATGAAAGGATGATCACACATGCATGGTTAATGTTAGACCCATAAATAATCTGTTCAAAGAATGATTAAAGCGAAAGCAACTGGCGCTGCTTACAATAAGTCAACTCTGAAACTCTTGAATGCAGCAAGACTGTAGGTGCATGTTCCTCCCTTTTTGTTCAGTCTATTTGGAAGTGAACCGATCGCATCAGTTGCATTTCTAGACACAGTTGCTTCACAAAAGGAAACGCGTTATAAACAGTCGCGCTCATCACCTTAGCTGTTAGCGCGAGTGATTATCCTCTCATTCGGTATTCACCTGCTTTGCTCGTGCAAAGTTGCGAACGCAATTATTTTTGTCAGTCGTGCGGCTTCTCGATCGCCTGTGCATGCATATTGGACCATCCTTATTATCGAACCCTGCTTTTAAGAATTATTATCTGGGAAAATTATTTTCAACCAGCCAAAGTGGCTAGTGGGAGTGTCTGTCTTCCCCGCCACCGCCGAAATCTACCCTCATTTGGCGGGTGTTAATGAAAAGCCCTGGTTACAATTAAAAGAACGTGTAAACGGACAGGCAAATAAAAAATCAGATATAGGCAACTAATTGGAATTGCGCATCAAGACCTGACAGTGTAAACGTGGCATATATACGGTTCTTCCGCTCACCGCTTTCAGTGGATTTTTCCCTGGTTTTTGTTCCATTCTTTGATTGAAATATGGTTTCCCAGCTCCCTCAAAGCCACATTAAGGCTGATTTATACTTCTGCGTCAAACACCAGCGTATGCTACGGCGCGGATGCATAGCCCTTTGCCGTGGCCGTCGCCGTCACTTATGTGCACCTCTCAAAAAAATGTAACTACACGTCGCAACAACGCGTAGCGCAAGCTCTGTGACTGGTCGGCTTGGTAGCGCTGACGAGTCTGGGCGGGACCGAGAGCCGCGCGAATGGCGCAAACCCAATGTAGCGATTGTTTACAAGAGTGGAGTCCCGTGAAGGAGCTCCGGATGGAAAGTTTTGTTTTGTGTTTACCTCATAGTTAAAGTTGCTGCACGTCCGCCTGTTGCTTACTTAAAATGAGCGAGTTTGAGCCACTTGTACATCCCGGAAGTGTTCAGGAAAAGCAAAAAAGCAGAGAAGAAATTCTTAGTGAACATAAATGTTTTTTCATGTGACACTATTTTAATGTTTAAAATGCAGAGTCATGGTCACGCGAAAATATCCCCAAGCTGTTTGCGTATACACAGATCACACGTCACATAATTATCTCATTGTTTTATTTTTTTGGCTTATACGGTTGTTCGTCACACACACTCAATTGAAGCTAATTAATGGAAATCAGCGCTCTGTTGACGTTGTATATCCCATTTTGTGTTTCAGAACGGCATTGTGCCCATTGTGGAGCCTGAGATTTTACCTGACGGTGAGCACGACTTGAAGCGCTGCCAGTATGTTACAGAAAAGGTACTTTAAAAAAAGTAAACTCAAATCACATCATTTCAATTAGATGTGTTATTATTGGTCGATTATCTGTACTATCACCTATCCTATGTATCACCAGGTTCTTGCTGCCTGCTACAAGGCCCTGTCTGACCATCATGTGTATTTGGAGGGAACTCTTCTGAAACCCAACATGGTGACAGCGGGACACTCCTGCCCCACCAAATACTCCAGTGAGGAGATCGCTATGGCAACAGTGACAGCCCTGCGCCGCACCGTTCCTCCCGCAGTATCAGGTCAGTCATGAGACTAACCGTACGTTCACACCGAAAGCGGCGAGAGCGTCAAAGTTGCCGGAAGTCATTCATTTTTAATGAGAGCCGGCGGCGAGGAGCAGCACGGCACGTCTTTGCCGATGTGAGCGTCGAGGAGAGTTGAAATCAAGTCAACTTTATGGTAATGAGCTATGACGCGGGTCAGCGGCAAGCAATCAGAATGAAGACGTCCACCGCTTGATAGGAGTTCAGAGAACACAGACCTGTGAACTTTGGTTCCGACCACAGTTGTTCCCAAGGGTTTGATAATTGAGGTCGCCGGATTTTCAATTATTTGCAATGTTTTCTTACAGGAACATGCATTAAATAAGTTACTGGCGGGTTACTGATGTGCATTAATGTTATATATTTATCTTAAAAAAGCAGGAATCTCACGCGACGTGACAGTACAAAACAGTATAGCTGCTTCAGGATATTTCAGACATATGGACACATATTGGATAGAGCAAAGCCACACCACACGCAACTTGATCTTCCATTGTTAAATGAATTTGATAAGAAGTGCGCAACATTTTCACGCTAGAAACATGACGCTCTCGCCACCGGAGCTGAAGGCAGACAGCGTTGTCGCCAGGGCAGCCAGAGCGACCTTGGACGCTCTCGCCGCTTTCGGTGTGAACGCACAGTAAAGGCCCTGATTCTCCTTTGTTTACACAGCAAAATGGCCATCAACACTATAAGTATGATTTCCATTGTGGTGATTGAAGTCTGGTTTCATGGTAAAGTCACACAAACCGCCATCACAAGCACAGAGAGAATTATATACATGTGTGTCAGCCATAGATCACAAAACATATCAGTCCTTTTTGTTTTATCCACTCAGCACTGCAGAAAAATGCTTAGACGTATACAGCCTTTCTACTATAGATTGTGGCTTTTAGTCAGATGTACTTTTGCTTTTTAGTAGTATATTTTAGAACAAGCATGTTATTATTTGATAATAAAAAATCTCTATCTCGCTTTCTCCTTGATTTTTATATACAGTTGAAGTCAGAATTATTAGCCCCCCTGAATTATTAGACCACTTGTTTATTTCTGTTTAACTGAGAGCAGATTTTTTTCAACACATTTCTAAACTCAATAGTTTTTATAACTTGATTCTAATAACTGATTTATTTTATCTTTGTCATGATGACAGTAAATAATATTTCACTAGATATTTTTCAAGACACTTCTGTACAGCTTAAAGTGACATTTAAAGGCTTAACTAGGTTAATTAGGTTAACTAGGCAGGTTAGGGCAATTAGGTAAGTTATTGTATAACAGTGAATTGTTCTGTAGACTATCGAGAAAAAAATAGCTTAAAGGGGCTAATAATTTTGTCCTTAAAATTGTGTTTAAAAAATTGCAAACTACTTTTATTCTAGCCAAAATAAAACAAATAAGACTGTCTCCAGAAAAAAAAATATTATCAGACATACTGTGAAAATGTCCTTGCTCTGTTAAACACCATTTGGGAAATATTTAAAAAACAAGAAAAAAATTCAAAGGGGGCTAATAATTCTGACTTCATTTTATATTAGAGCTGCACGATTCTGGCTAAAATGCGAATCATGATTTTGTTTTTTGTTTTATTTTTTTGCTTAAAATCAAGATTACGACTTTCCCACAATTGTATAGATATATGATATATGAGTAGGCTATTATTATTGTTATTTAAAAAAAAAATAAAACAACAACATTAATAATACTTTGTGTAGGTGTACTGTTGGTTAAAATGCTCAATTTTGAATAGACTTTAAATGGTGGACTTGAACAGACTTTAAATTTGTCCTGATCCAAGTGATGACATTCCATTCATAATTCTGATGTTGAATTACTATGTTTGAGACATACGCTTGTCATTTGTCATCAACAGCTATAATAAACCATTTTTTCTGTTTAAAATTAGATATTTGTCATTATCAGATTCCCTCTTGCATTATATTAAACATTATTTAGGCTGGAGTAGTTACACTGACACTGTTAAACATTTATTCTCATGCACAACACTTTTTTTGTTCACTAAGAAAGAATAACATTAAATGCTTGTCGTAATCATAACTCTATGATGCGATATGATTATTTGAATGATGTGTTTGCTTTTAATTTCATTTTCACTGCTAAGTGCAGTTCACACTTTCCGTGGGGCTCCCAAACGATTGCTCTGTGCCACAAACTGAATGTTATTTACAAATTTATGACCTGTTATTCACAGCCTATGCAGGTTCTGTTCACTAAGTGAAGTTTATTTATAAACAAATTTCGAGAGGATCACGTGCTTATGATTGTTCACAGTTGTTCCAACTTTAGCTAATGACTAATTATCCTATCAGATGATCCTTAACACACTATAAATAATCAGACTTTTCTCATATCAATATCTTCGTCTTGAAGAAACCCCTACCCCGCCAGTGTCCTGCATAGTTTAGCTCCAACTTCCCTCAACACACTTGCTTGGAAGTTTTAGTATGCCTAAAAAGAGCTTGATTAGCTGATTCCGGTGTGTTTATTTGGGGTTGGAACTAAAATATGCAGGACACCGGCCCTCCAGGAACGAGTTTGGGCACCCCTGGTCTAGGGGGTTAAGTCAAAATTGCGATCTTTTTTCAATTAATCGTGCATCACTAATATATCTAATATATATATATATATATATATATATATATATATATATATATATATATATATATATATATATATATATATATGTATATATGTATATATATGTATATATATATATATATATATATATATATATATATATATATTATAATGTTCAAATTCTAATATTAAGAAAATATAACTTACATGCTTTTTAAAATAAACATAACCATAGAGCTAAAAGTTAAATCTGTTTCAAATTAATTGTTGGGCTACAATTTTAGTCTTTTGTAAAACTGTTGTTTCAAATTTAAATGGGAATTTATAATGCATTCACACTCTGACTCTGTTAAGCTGAGATAGAAATGAAATGATATTCGCCATTTTTTAAGAAAAGGGGAGGGGTTACTCTGTATTTCCTGCTCTGTTTTCATGTTTCAGTTAAAGGGATAGTTGCTCAAAATAGCACTTCTGTCACACCTTCCACATATTCCAAATTGTTTAAGGTTTCTTCTGTTGAACAGGAAAGAAGATCTTCTGAAGAACGTTGGAAGCATTGGCTATCGTCAATGGCTACTGGCTTCCAACTTTCTTCAAAATATCTTCTTTTGTGTTTAGCAGAAAATATAAATGTGTGGAATCTCTTAAGGGTTGAGTAAATCATAAGCAAATGTTCAAGGGAACCCATTTCTACCCCTTTTACAAGATGTAAGATTAGACTTTGGTGTCTTCAGAATTTGTCTGTGAAGTTTCAGCTCAAAATACCCGTCAGATCATTTATTATAGCGTCCAGAATATTGTAGCTGTTTTTGTAGCCTGTGGCTTTAAATGCAAATAAGCTTCATCTCCCCGCCCACTGTTCCTACGTGCATGTCTGCTTCTCATCATTCGTTACGTCAGGTAAACGGCAGTCAGCGACAGAGACAGACTCAGATGAAGCTGAAGTACAGCTCATTGGTCAAAAATTCCAAGCTTATTTGCTGCATTTTTGGAGTTTATTCAAGCCTTTCTGAAATGATGAGTCTCACACAACTGCCGTTTGCAGGACACACCCACACACATATTGGTGTTTACTGACACCATGTGGTCATGGAGATTATATCGGTTAAGAATTAGATGAATTTAGATGCTAAATTAGAGAATACTTTCTTTATTACAAACATGCTCAGTTTTAAAACGTTTTAAACTTATAAAAATCACAGAGAGTTGTGATAAATGATTTAATCCCAGTTTATTTACAAAAAAAATGTTCTGTGAACATGTGTACAGTTATTATACAAACATAGCGCCTGTCAATCAATTTGCTTGGCAGGGAAACTGCACTCCTACGTCACATTGTGGTGGGCCTCAAAATCACTGGGATTTGGATCCTATAATTAAAAACTAATTTTAAAAAAAAAAGAGACTTGTTGTGTTTCTATCACTCCAGTTTGACAATGGACACACTATACCTACACACAGTTCTGTTTCATCATAGGTGCCCACTCGGGTGAACTGTTAATTTAATAACAAAAGCAAATATTCATTTAAATTACACTTGAATTTTAATGTGGTGTTAATAGAGAGGCTATACTCAAGTCAGATTTTTTTCATGAGTAACTCAATTTTGTAATGTATTACTTTCAAAAGTAACCTTCTCCAACACTGGATGATAACACAACCCTCATACATTATCATCAGTAAACGGTACATAATGAAGTGTCATTATAATGTGTTTAAATGTCTTCCAGGAGTGACTTTCCTCTCTGGAGGTCAGAGCGAGGAGGAGGCGTCTGTCAACCTGAACTCCATCAACAATTGCCCTCTGGCAAAACCCTGGCCCCTCACCTTCTCCTATGGACGTGCCTTGCAGGCCTCAGCTCTGAGCGCGTGGCGTGGAGCCAAGAGCAATGAGAAGGCTGCAACTGAGGAGTTCATCAAGCGCGCTGAGGTCTGTTATACTGCATTGTTTATTTACAGGAAATGTTATCACTAATGAACCCAATACGGCTCCTTTTATTGTTATTTTACGCTAAATGTGTTCCTAATTACCATTTTTATTTTAAATTTGGGGGAATATGGTGTGAGTTGTTTGTAGATTCAACCAAAATGACTACCAAACTATCTGTCATGAATCCTCAGAAGCTGAGAATTTTATAAGTAGCCTTTTAATATATTAAATGTGTCAAACCCCCCCCCCCCCCCCCCCCCCCTCTCTCTCTCTTCAAGCTTGTTGCTTTATTGGCATGACATTTTTACAGTATTGGTAAAGCATTTTAACGAAGTACAAAAAATATGGAATATAATTACATCAAATCAATTAAAGATACAATAAAAGAGAGAGAAATGCAAAAAAATAAATAAATAAAAGCAAAACTGTCAATACCTCTAATACTAATTATAATAATTACAATTAGAAACAGTGTAAATTATGTAAAATAAGGTCAATGAATTTTGATGGGTTAATTATTTTCATATGATATAGATGTTTTGCTGATAATCTCTTTTTCTGAAATATAAAATTCTAATTAAAACTTGACAATTGTTATAACAAATCAAATCACTTTTATTGTCACATCATTGAATGTGTATAGAAAATGTAATATATAATTTATATTAAAGTATTATGTTATTTATTTTAATTTTATATTTGTATAGAAAATCATTGAATTAATAATTTAATATCATTTATATAGAATTTTAAAATTCACATTTGAATCTTAACACAACAGTTAAATCAGTTTCAAAATAATTGTTGAGCTAAAATTATTGTTTATTTTCTTGCTTCAAACCAAAGTGAAAATATGAAACACAGATAAATATATTTATAATAAACTCTTAGCTATATCTGTCTTTCAGTTTGAAAATCTGTTGATCCAACATTTTTCTGTTAATTTGTATATACAGTTAAAGTCAGAATTGTTAGGCCCCCTTTGATTTTTATTTAAAAAAATATATATTTTTCCAAAATGGTGTTTAACAGAGCAAGGAAATTTTCACAGTATGTCTGATAATATTTTTTCTTCTGGAGAAAGTTTTATTGTTTTATTTTGGCTAGAATAAAAGCAGTTTACATTTTTTTTAAAATCCATTTTAAGGTCAAAATGATTAGCCCCTTTAAGCTATATATTTTTTCCGATAGTCTACAAAACAAACCACTGTTATACAATAACTTGCCTGATTACCCTAACCTGCCTAGTTAACCTAATTATCCCAGTTAAGCCTTTAAATGTCACTTTAAGCTGTATAGAAGTGTCTTGAACAATATCTAGTCAAATATTATTTACTGTCATCATGACAAAGATAAAATAAATCAGTTATTAGAGATGAGTTATTAAAACTATTATGATAAGAAATGTGTTGTAGAAATCTGCTCTCTGTTAAACAGAAAATGGAGGACAAAATAAACAGGGTGGCTTATAATTCAGGAGGGCTAATAATTCTAATTAATTTTAACTGTATGTAAATAATTATTTCTGTTAATCAAATGTTTACAATACTTGGATTAAACTTAATTTCATGTAGCTTCATTTTATGATCTCTTTACAAATGTTATAAAATGTCATCATTTTGGTTGGGAATAGACTTTCAATGGTGAGACAGTAATGTCTCAGATTTAATCAAAAATACCTTGTTAAAATGTACAAGTCTTCCAGGTTTTGGAAGTAAATTAAAAAGGCTATATTCTAAACAAATGGCAAACAGAATGGGATCAGTGCTCAGAAAATAAACGTTTTGAAATTTAGCCAAAATTAGGAAGAAACTCTAATTTATTTTTTAATTTAAGGCACAATGAGATTGTTTATAGAAGATGGCGCATTGGCAGGGCCAGACGGAATCTGCGGACATTTTTTTTATTTTTCTGCAGAGAATTTTGGTAAAAATCTGCAGATTTCTCCAGAATTATTTTGGGAGTATCGTAACTAAAACCGTAATTAGTGAAATAAAAAGCAATACCTTTTTAAATTTTATTTAATGTTTTAATTGCAAATATAATTAGATTCAGGCGAGGCAGTGGCGCAGTAGGTAGTGCTTTCGCCTCACAGCAAGAAGGTCGCTGGGTCGCTTGTTCGAACCTCGGTTCAGTTGGTGTTTCTGTGTGGAGTTTGCATGTTCTCCCTGCCTTCGCGTGGGTTGCCTCCGGGTGCTCTGGTTTCCCACACAGTGCAAAGACATGCTGTACAGGTGAATTGGGTAGGCTAAATTGTCCGTAGTGTATGAGTGTGTGTGTGAATGTGTGTGTGTGGATGTTTCCCAGAGATGGCTTGCGGCTGGAAGGGCAGCCGCTGCGTAAAAACTTGCTGGATAAGTTGGCGGTTCATTCCGCTGTGGCGAACCCCGATTAATAAAGGGACTAAGCCGACAAGAAAATGAATGAATAATTAGATTCACTTATTTGGTAAACAAAGCAAGTCTCTCATATAATATATATACTAAAACACAGAAAATATGACTGTACAAACTGCATTTTACATAAATCAGATGAACATTTTCATGTTTGTCAATAATATTACTGTAATTAATTAAAAAACTAAATAAATTTAGATTTACACACATTTACTCAAGTAAATAAACAGAATTAATGATGGGCTAAAAATCTGCAGAAATCTGCAGAATTCTAAACGCAGATTCCGTGTGAGCCTACGCATTGGACCTATGAGACCCATGGAGACGAACTACCAAAATGTCAATATTGCAAAAGAAACCAAACTGTTAAACATATTCTTGTTTAATGCCCTATTTTAATGTTATCAGACAACAATTTGTATCTGGACAGACTTTAAATGAAATTAAAGTGTGAATCCTTCTAAAATTGTACAATTTTTATCAAAAGTAAACCTTAAAAAACTGTTTTAGATTTTTATTTTATGTATCTTATCTTATGTATTTTCATTATTATTATTATTATTATTATTATTATTATGTATTTCACTTTGGGTATTATTTATTGCTGTGGATGAATTTTAATTGTTAGAATATTTTTATAACTATAGAAAAGTGGTATTTATAAAGTGTGGTAAACTTGATCTGTTTGTTTGTTTGTTTGTTTTTGCAATGACATAGCCAAAGAAGCTGAAATGGCAATAAACTTAAAATTCTCTCTCTCTCTTTCTTGGAAGTAAATAATGAGTTGAACTGCAGAATCAGACATGTTGAACTAATGTTTGTGGCGTTTCCTCAGGCTAACGGATTGGCTGCTCAGGGCAAGTACGTCTCCAGTGGAACCTGCGGAGCAGCAGGACAGTCGCTTTACGTGGCCAATCACGCCTACTGAACATCCTGCGTCCCAGCGTTCAGCTCTCCGCCAGCCAATAGTATAGTGCACAGCCGCTACCCCTCCTGTCACCGACCAATCACAGGCCTGCGCTGTCTTCTGTACTTTACGGTTGCCGTTGCAAATGTCTCATAATATATCTATTTAAATATATATTAAACTGAAAAAAAGAAAAGGTACGCAAAAGATTATTTTTATTTTCAGAAACTTCTAGGCATGACTTCATGCGGTAAACAAGGAAACAGTATTTTTTCGTGGCTCATTAGCTGGATGTACATGTATATGTCAGTCGTTTGGGTTTTATATGATTGCATTCCAGTTCCGGCACCAGTCGACTTCTCACATTCCTTTTAGTGCAGTTTGGATTCATAATGATGTGTGGAGGATGTGAACACAGATCAGTGTACGCCAGCCAGCAGGACCAGTTTGTCAAATTGGGAGTAAAAGCAGAGTAATATATATGTAACTGAGTGATTAACTACAGCAGACTCTGAGGAGGAATATTATTTTGTGTTGTGTTCACATATGATATTAAACCATTGTCTGGGCTGCGTGATTTATCGTTTATGAAGTTTAACATGAAATACGTAATATATTAGTTTGGAAATTGGAGCGTTATCTTGAAATCGTGCTCTGTGTTGTGTGCTTGAGTGTGTCCAGCTCTTCTTCCTCTCCTCTCTGTGTTTGTGACACAGTGCTACATCAGTAATAATCACTTCTATTGGTTGCGAGCGGCGGAGCGGACCAAACTGTGGAGCTTGTGGGGGAGGAGAGCGCTCACTTCTCTGTCGACAAAACGTGATGTTGTGATTTGATGTTGTTCCCTAAGCACTTTGTGTGTCAGATAGTTTTAAAAATCCAATAAAATTACTGTAAAACCCTAGATTGTGTTTATGGTTATTATTGGAGTTTTGCATGCGCATGTTCTCTTAAAGGAATAGTTCATTAAAAAATGAAAAGAAGATATTTTTTAAAATGTTGGAAACCTGTTACCACCCTTACAAAAAATAACTGCAGTACAACAACAGTGTATAGAAGTATAACTGCAGTAAAATTAAGTACAATTGCAATACAAAGTATAAACATATTTCAAATACAGTAAAATAAAGTTCAACAGCAGTTTAGATCAGAGTAAACTGGAGTAATATCAAGTAAACTCTGTCTTTACTGCACTTGTGCTGCTGTAGTCTAATATGCCAACGGTGTGGTAAGAACTGTACTGCACTTGTGCCCCAAGGGCAGGGCCGGAGTGGGACTCCTTTTTAGCCCTGGAGTTTCAAGCATTAGACCGGCTCAACGTCATTTCCAATTCAGTTTTTAATTACACTATCCGGTCTTTTTTAAGAAAACAGCTGCTTTAGAACTTCAAATGTTCAACCACCTTGCAGTTTTATATGTCTTAACAATAAAAATGAAGAAAAAAAAAAAAAGAAGTACTCAGGTGAGGATCGAACATGGGTTGACGATGTCGTCACTCAACGTGCTGACCACTGGACCACAATTTCGCTGGAGTTTGCCAGAGCTGCAGCAAAATAATGAATAAAAAGAGTGAGGCTATGGTCAAATAAATAAATAAATGAAAACAAGTGCGACGGCTGAGAGTGCAAGCAGCTAAAAAAAAACACCGGCCCTCGCGGCCAAAAAAACAGACCGGCCCACGGGGAACTCTCCCGGTCCTCCCGATTGGCCAATCCGGGCCTGCCCAAGGGGTTTGTTCTTCAACATCTTCCAAGAAAATTTTGTACTTTTTTCAGGGATTTTTTTTGGATTCAAGTCATTTTCTAATTAGAATTTTAAGAGTTTATTTGCAAAAACTAATAATAAAGAATAACAGCAGTGAACTGAACAGTACAACAGCAAGTATAATGCAATAAAGTTCAACAGCAGTACAATCTGCAGTACAGCTGAAGTAACATTAAATAAACTGAGTAATATATTATTTAAGTATATTGCAGTGTTGCTACAACACAACCAACTGCAGTACCTCTACTGCAATACAACTGAAGTACTGCTACAGTACAAATGCTGTAACTACTGCAATAGTACTGAAGTACTACAACTACTATAATGCAGTACTGCTACTGCAATTGAACTGAAGTACTACTACAGTACAACTGCAGTACAACTTCTACTTTTCTCTGTGGACACGTGTTGGGGTTTTAGCACTTAAGTTGTATTGCTGAAATTATACCACAGTATATTGTATTGCACTTTTCAGAAGTATAACTACAGAAATACATCTACAATACTGCAATACATAATAAGACTTAACTGCACATTTAATAAAAATGTACCTCAGTGCAATGAATTGTTTTGAAATGTATTGCAGAAGCAGTGCTGCATTACAGTAGTGTTACTATTGCAGTAGTTGAACTGCATTTGTACTGTAGTAATACTTCAGATTTACTGCAGCTGGTTGTGTTGTAGTACTTCAGTTGTATTGTAGTAATCCTGCAATATACCTAAATAATGCTGTTTTTCGTGTCTAAAACAACTGCACTTTTCAGACATTAACTTAAACTGCAGTATTTCTTTAAAAAAAAACTGTAGTATTCTTAAAAAAACTGTGGTATTTTTTTGTAAAGGCATTGACTTCCATAGTATTTGTTTTTCCCTACTATGGACGTCAATAGTTAAAGGTTTTTAACATGATTCAATAATGCAGGGGTGCCACAACCTTTTCGTATGAAGGGCCCAAAACCAAATATCATTGAGAGCCCAACTATACCAAGCTATATTACATGGAACAAAACAAAGTTGCCATTGATAATTTACTTAATTTTTGTATAATATTTCAAAACAAATAGAAAATATAACTTTAAATCATATTAAATAATGCAGTATACCTTTTAAATGATAAACGTATTACTATAAAACAAAAACAATCCCATTTATTGCACAGCGGAGTTTAATGTTGAACACAATAGTCAAGCAGAATCTGCCCTGGACTTGAATTGCTCACCAAAGTCTCTGCATTGCCAGGTGACAGTATGCACATCTAAACTAAATCTGATTCATTTACACGATTTAATTGAAACGTATAATTTCAACAATAAAACCAACTAATAGTGGCATTAAATTTGAATTGGCAATCTCAAAACCATCCCCATCCTTCTTCCTGGTGGGCCAAATCAAATGTTACCATGGGCCAACTTTAGCCCTTGGACCCTAGTTTGGGCATCTCTGCATTATTTGCCTACATGTTAAAAAAAAATCCTGATTGCTCTAAACTTTTAAGCTGAATCAAATTAACCTTATGAGTACATTGAACTTGTATTATGTTTAACTGACTTAAAGCAGCATTAATGACTTATACAATTAAGTTAGAACATGATTAACTTAGTTTATTAAGTTACAATGAGCTAAAAACATATGCTGTCAGGACTAATTAATCGTCTATTTTTTATCAGTGCAGAGTTGCTGCCTTGTGATTGGTTGTTCACCACATCATGCATAATTTTATGTAAATGAATTATCCTTCTAAATCTGTTTATTTCTTCTAAAATTAATGATTTAATTAAAGCAATAATAAAAAGCATTTATCAATTTGTGTTGTGAGTGGCACAGTGGTTAGCACTGTCACCTCACAGCAAAAAGGTTGCTGGTTCGAGTCCCGGCTGGGCCAGTGTGGAGTTTGCATGTTCTCCCCGTGTTGGCGTGGGTTTCCTCCGGCTGCTCCGGTTTCCCCAACAGTCCAAAGACATGCGGTACAGGTGAATTAAATAAAATAAATTGTTTGTAGTGTATATGTGTGAATGTGAATAAGTGTGTATGGGTGTTTCCCAATACTGGGTTATAGCTGGAAGGGCATCCGCTGTGTAAAACATATGCTGGATTAGTTGGCGGTTCATTCTGCTGTGGCAATCTCTGAAGGAACATGAATGCATTTGTGTTGTGACGCCTCTTAGAGGAGGTTGATAAAACATGACCGCAGGAAATGAATCTAGCAAAAAAAGTAGCTGTTTTAAATGCATAGAAGTATGACAAAATAAAAGATCACAAAACAATTTAGCATGAAAAGAGTCCGTCTTAAACAAGTCAAGATATATATCATTTTAACTTCATTTTGAGAAATAATATTCAGTGAATTCTAGAGGCATTACTAACGTTATCCACAAATTTAATAGAACTACCCAAAAATCTATACTTAATATGTAGTGTGATTTTATATTCAATGTTTTATCATGAATAATAAATATAGGAATGAGTCCATTTACTTATTTGTTATTATTTTTTTATCACCAAAACAATTTGTGTTGTGTCAGCCCAAACCTGCAGGATGGACTTACTTTTGAGGACAATTAAATATTTCTGGAAATCTCCCACAACAGAACTTTCATTTTTAACAATATATTCTTTTGTGACCTGAAGTGGAAGGAAATGCATATAGAAGAGCAAACAAGTAAGTAAATGATGACAGTATTTATATTTACGAGTGGTTTGAATAATCTGTTATACACTACCTTATTGAGTACACCTTACTAGTACTGGGTTGAACCCCCTTTTGCCTTCAGAACTGCCTTAATCCTTAGTAGCATAGATTCAACATGGTACTGGAAAAACTCCTCAGAGATTTTGGTCCATATTGACATGATAGTATCACGCAAGCTGCAGATTTGTTGGCTGCACATCCATGATGTGAATCTCCCGTTACACCACATCCCAAAGGCTATTTGAGTACAGTGAGCTCATTGTCATGTTCAAGAAATCAGTCTGAGATGGCTCGCACTTTATGACAAGCTGCTGGAAATAGCCATCAGAAGATGGGTACAGTCACTGTGCTCAAAAAAGGATGGATATGGTCAGCAACATTACCCAGGTAGGCTGTGGCATTGACGGGATGCTCAATTGGTACTAATGGGCCCTAAGTTTGCCATGAAAATATCCCCCGCACCATTACACCACCAGCAGCAGCCTGAACCGTTGATACAAGGCAGGATGGATCCATGCTTTCATGTTGTTGATGCCAAACTCTGACCCTACCATCTGAATGTTGGAGCAGAAATCAAGATTCATCAGACAAGGCAATGTTTTTCCAATCTTACAATTTTGGTGAGCCTGTGCGAATAGTAGCCTCAGTTTCTTGTTCTTAGCTAACAGGAGTGGCACACGGTGTGGTCTTCTGCTGCTGTAGCCCATCTGCCTCAAGGTTTAACATGTTGTGCATTCAGAGATGCACTTCTGCAGACCTCGGTTGTAACGAGTGCTTATTTGAGTTACTGTTGCCTTTCTATCAGCTCGAACCAGTCTGGCCATTCTCCTCTGACATCAACAAGGCATTTGCACCCACAAAACTGCCGCTCACTGGATATTTTCTCCTTTTCGGATCATTCTCCGTAAACCCTAGAGATGATTGTTTGTGAAAATACCAGTAAATCAGAAGTTTTTGAAATACTCAGACCAGCCTGTCTGGCACTAACTACCATGCCACGTTCAAAGTCACTTAAATCACCCTTCTTCCCCATTCTGATGCTTGGTTTGAACAGCAGCAGGTTGTCTTGACCATGTCTTCATGCCTAAATGCATTAAGTTGCTTTCTTCCAAGTGATTGGCTGACTACTAGAAAGCTCCTTTATCCAGCAGTTGGACAGATGTACCTAATAAAGTGGCCGGTGAGTGTATATTAGGAACTGCAAAAGTGCAAGCCGGAAGAAAAATAACTTCATTTTAAAGGGCGTGCAAGTGACATTAAACCCGCCCTCTTAAACTCCGATTGGAGGTTTCTGTGCCTTCTAGCATCTGATTGGGTCAAATCCTCCAATAGAGTGCCTTGCGGTAGTCATTCCATACAGCAATGGCAGCTTTGCAGCTCGGTGAGTCTTGTTCATTCATTTGCAACAATTTCCTGTTATTTTTCGACATCATATAAGTGTTTATGTATTT